AAATATCTCCGAAGAGATAGTATGTCGTATATAATACGACATAACAAGTTATACAGTATATTAATCAAATATATATAGAGTATATATGGGTATATATAAATATATAGAGCATAAAAAAGTATATATAGCATATATAGAGCATATAAATATGACATATTATATAGAGCATAAAAAAGTATATATAACATATATAGAGCATATAAATATGACATATATCAGTTTAATGTATCAAGAAATAATCCGACGAGAATGAAGCCTGCTGTGTCGGAATTTCAATTGGCCATTGTTATGTAAGAATGGTCCAATTCAAAAATATAAGCTTCTATCAATGGATACTCCATTCACATCTTTTTAAAACAAACAAAAAGAATTCAAGCCTTATATATGCTTGAAAGAAATTAAGAAAGTTATTTATTTTTTATCAGTCACGTCTTTTTGCACATTTTTCTAAGAATTGAGCTAGTCAGTACTCTTAAAGAAATGGAAATGCTTGATTCATTGAACTATTGCCAAAATCTCAGAGCTAAATTCTTTGGTTGGATCATTCTTGCGTAACTCCGACGAATTGCAAATTCCAATTCTTATTTTACTTCCCGTCGGACCCAATGCGATTTACGTCTACGTGCATGCAATCTATGTAAAGTGACGCTTGGTGTCTACTATATGAGCGTCTAAATTGAACGCTCACCATTGCGCGTCGTCCCACGGTGTCCAGGGTCCATCATCCATCCTGTCGCTGCATCTGACACTGCAATGGTCCGTGTCCCACGTCGCCTGTAATTCACTCCCGACCGCGGTAATCTAACGAATGTTTCACGAAAAATCCTGTCTCCCTTGGAGGATATACTCCGAGTTGCGAATTGCTTATGAAATATCACGAACTACGTCTTCGAGGAAATGTTGGCCTTTCGGCTAAACGACGAGTATGTGCGACAAATTCAGCAACGAGTTATAGTGTATCGCTTTGATTCGCGACGCGAATCGCTTACGAAGAAAACAGAATCCGTGAGTGAAGGGAACACGCGATGCGAATCAAAAACCGATCTCGCGTAATCTTTCGACGCGTGGGCGAAGTAATCTGCGAGATTCTCACGTACGACACGGGATATCCCTAATATAACGTTTCGATGGTGCAGCGTAGTAGACTGCAATACAGCTCCGCAATGTTTTTGCGGATAACAGCTCCGCAATACTTTTGCGAAAGCAGTTCCTCAATATTTTTGCGGATAACAGCTCCGCAATACTTTTGCAAAGACAATTTCGCAATGCTTTTGCGGATAACAACTCTGCAATATTTCTGCGAAGTTCACTCGCGACTCTTCCGCAAATACGATCGGGTGAAATTCGTAAACTATCAAATTAATAATTGCGAACACGAGCGTGAATAAAAAATCAAAAACTATGAAAATTGTGACGATAGAAATAAAGATTTTATTCAAAATTCACGCGAAAAAAATGTTATCGCGTGAGACGTCTGTCTTCGTTCGATGGAACTTGTCGCGCGCCACGTAAGTAAACAAACAACTGCTCGCATGTCTGACTTGTGTGCATCGTGTTTTTCGCGAGGAATCAACGCTCACTAGTATTATCAATTACATTGTTTCGCGGTAGGAAATTCTAACTGAAAAATTGAAACCTGAAAATTTTCTGACGATCGTGAAATTAATTTCGTGAGTAGTTTAAGTAATCACGTTAGATCGCTTCGCGCAGACCCTCACGATATCGAATTTTATTTAATAACGAATTCTGTACTTTACGAAATACAATCGTCACACGAGAGAGAAAACTAAGAAATTAACCGGCGGAAGATCTTTCGAAGCGGGTGATGTGATCGCGCATTTTCTGTGGCGCAATCTCTGCGCGTTGGCGCACTAATCGAGACCCCTCGAAGAAGATCGCATTCAATAAAACTGAATAATTTTACAAAATTTTGAATTCAGAGCGTATACTCAATATTTTAATGGCATCTATCAGACAGTGTTAGAGTTTAATTAATCAAAATTTTCTTCAAAAAAAATTATTAATCAATTAATAATCTAAGTTAGTTAAACAATTAATAAATATATATACATTGAGAGAAAGATACTTGAAAATTTGCAAAATTTATAAAAATGCATTATTACTAATATTATTATTTGTAAAAGCGATCTTTCAATTGTTTCGAACAGTGTGCTTTACTGGACGGCACATACACACACTACACTACAGCAAAGTAAATCGCATTGATTCATAAACATGCATTATATGGAAAAACTTTTTATCTTTTTATTACCAATTTTTTTATCTTATTTGACTCACCGACTTGCCGATCAGGGCAGCCACGTTCTGCTTTCGTTTCTGGAACAGAAAAATATTTCGCCGATTAGATTCGTGCATTGATGTTAGTTTGAGTAAAGAAGTTTGCAATATTAAAAAATAATAAGCACACGATATTTTTCACGCTGGGAGAATTTTTCGGAATGCATTCACACTTAGAATATTCCACATTTTTCTTTTTCTCAACGTTTCAAATAAACCTCTTAATTAGAATAAATCAGCATCTTTCAAGTGATGATTTTACTTAGAAAAAAATTTTCTCCGCGTGTAATTACGATTTAACGCGATCTTTGACTCGATTCAAATTATCTCGATTTCGAGCAAGAGAATTATTAATCAATTGAATTTATAATTACAAATGCTAATTAGCAAAGCTAACCTTCGAGCTAACCCTGCTTGGTCCGAGCCGGGTCCTCCGGCGCAGCAGCCCCTAAGAATCGGCTGGTCATCTGCTTCGTCTCTGCAACAGAAAGCATATTTAAATTTAGTATTACACACTACAATGGAGAAATTAAGGAACTTGATTTCAAACAACAGAATTTCTAGTTTTATTGGTTATCTAATTACGAATTTAAATCAGTGAAACTTACCTTCGCACCAACTCTGCCAGGCCCGAGCCGGATCCTCCGGCGCAGCATTCCCTTAGAGTCGAGTGCTCGTCTCTGCAACAGAAAGCAAATTTAATTGAGTATTAATTAATTACATGACAATGGAGGTATTAAGGAACTCGATTTGAAGCAAGAAAATGTTCAATTTTGACAAATTTATAATCACGAATACAAATCAATGAAGTTCACCTTCGAGCCGACTCAGCCAGGCCCGAGTCGAATACTCCGGCGCGGCATCCCCTAGGCATCGCATCTCCTAGAGCCGCGTGACTGCATCTTCTCTATTAGATCTTTGTGACAGAAATTTAATTTAATTTAGTATCAATTAGTAATTTAATAAATTAGTATCAAATAGTTATACGCGACAGCAAGACGGTGAAAAGAAATCGACGTAACAGCACGCTCGAGTTACTTCCCAATATGTAATAAAAATATTTAAATGACAACTGAAATAATAAAACTCGAATAATGGATGATGATAATATTTGATCGGCATTGAAGAACTCGATCGCGACGTTTCTCTAACAAGTAAAAAAATAAATAAAATGCGGTAATTACCCGCTGCGGTAACACCCACAACACCTGCTCGTCTGATAAATACGCGTCTCAATTCGTGTTAATTATTGCCGTAATTGTGGCGAAATCAAAATGCGGTTAAAAATTGGCGCGAAATAATTTAGAAAATAACGCGGCAGTCCCCGCGATACGCTCGCCTCGGCGGCTGATAGCGTTATGGCGTGACGCTCGCGCACGTGTATTTATATGACCGACCGCGCTCCCCCCCCCCCCC